GTAGGGTCTGCTTCCCTGACCTCTGATCATGCGCGTGGCTCTTCTCTGGACTCTCTCAAGTTTCTCCACATCCTTTTTGAACTGTGGAGCCCAAAACTGGACACAGTACTCCAGCTGCGGCCTCACTAAGGCCGAGTACAGGGGGAGAATGACGTCCCGGGATTTGCTTGAGAAGCATCTATGGATGCAAGCCAGTGTTTTGGTCGCTTTACTAGCCGCCGCATCGCATTGCAGGCTCATGTTTATCTTGCCTGTGAAGACTGAGGTAGAAAAGGTACAGAGTACTTTTCACATCCTCTGTTGCCTCTGGCATTCAGTAGGGGACCCACACTTTCCCTGATCTTCCTCTTTTTGCTGAAATACTTGTAGAAACCCTTCTAATTACCCTTCAGATTCCTTGCTAGCTACAACTCCAATTGCACATTGGCCTTCCTGATTTCATACCTGCATGCCCAAGCAAGACTCTTATACTCCTCCCTAGTTGTCCAAGTTTCCACTTCTTGTAAGCTTCCTTTTTGTGTTTTAGCTCACTGAGGAGTTCCCTACTAAGCCAAGCTGGTCTTCCGCCATACTTGCTAGTCGTCCTGTGCATCAGGATGGTTTGTGCCTGTGACCTCAGTAAGGTTTCTTTAAAGTACAGCCAGTTCTCCTGGACTCAGACTGGCCTCCCAGGAGATCCAGCCTATCCATTCCCTGAGTGAGTCAAAGTCTGCTTTTCTGAAATCCAGGGTTCGTATTCTGCTGTTCTCCTTCCCTCCTTTCTTCAGGATCCTGTACTCGGTCATCTCGTGGTCGCTGCTGCCCAAGTTGACATCCACTTCCATTCCCTACCAATTCTTCCGTTTGTGAGCTAGCAGTTAAGAGAAGCGCAGCCCCTAGTTGGCCTCTCCAACACTTTAACCAGGAAGTTATCCCAGCACTTCAAAAACTTCCTGGATTGCCTGTGCAGTGCTGTGTTGCCTTCCCAGCAGATGTCAGGGGGACTGAAGTCCCCCATGAGAACCAGGGCCTGTGATGTGGAAACTTCTGCCAACTGTCTGAAGAAAGCCTCATCCTCGTGGTCTGGTGGTCTATAGCAGACCTCCACCATGTCATCACCTTTGTTGCTCTCACTGCTGACCCTGACCCTAAGACTTTCAACAGGCCTATCTCCAGTTTCATACTGGAGCTCTGAGCAATCATATGGCTCTTTTACATAAAGCACAATTCCTCCTCCTCTTCTCTCCTGTCTGTCCTTTGTGAAGAATGTGTACCCATCCATGACAGTGCTATGGTCACACAAGCTATCCCACCAAGTCCCTGTTATTCCAATCACATCAGCTCCATGACTGTTCAAGGACTTAAAATTCTTCCTGCTTGTTTCCCAGGCTCTGTGCACGTGTGTACAGACACCCAAGGTAACTAGCTGATTATCCTACTGTCTCAGTGATAATGAGAAGACCTCCCCTGTTGCCGCCTCCTGCTTATGCCACTTCCCAGGTCAAGCCACTCTGACTCCCCCACTACCTGCCTCCCTACCACTGCTTACCCCTCTGTATAGGTGGGGCACATTCAGATACAACCCTCCAATAATTAGCTCTTATACATGGAAAATTATAACAAAAATTATACATTTTTCCTGTAGAGGATCTAATTATTGTGCGGGTAGCCTTAATTTCAAAGTTGTCTTGGATTCCAGTAAAGATGGTATTTTCTGTCCTGTAGATCTATTCCAGGTGGATCCTGTGGGCTGCCTGTGCGTCTGTTTCTTGATTTTAACTGGTGCCCCTGGGTGTGCCAGAAGTGTGGCATCGGTAGGGCTCTGGTAAGGCTGGAGAGGTCTGCAGGCAACAAAAGCATCTTCTGGCGTTTAGAGTAACTGAAACATTTATTTCTAACCTACTGGATACAAAAAATCATGGACTAAATATAGACATTGGATTTATGACACACAACCTGCCTAACATCTGACTCCCCAGGTAACCTCTATACTATCTACCAATTTATGTTTTCATTGTCTGGCTTTATCACATGCATACGGGCATTTACTATTACATCTAGGAAGGGCAAAAACCAACTGCAGATGTTTCCTCAGCCTGACAAAGGGTATTTATACCTGAAAGCTTGTAAAGAAATTTTCCAGCTATTTGCATTGGTCTAAGAAAAGATTTACCCAAAGAACCTTGTCTGCCTTTGTCCTTAGACCAAAATGGCTACAACCTAGACCCCTTTTCATATGTGAAACATTTATGGGTTAACATGTTAACCCTTCCTGAGTCCTTTTGGTGTATGAATTCCCCTGCTGAGACCTAATTTGCTCAAAGGGAATGATGCAGTCAGCCACAGGAAATATTATTAATGTCTTACAGCTGTAAATCCTCCCCCCAAGAAAAGCCACAGTCTTGCAAGTCACGGCATGAGAGGGGGAGGGGCAGGGCTCTGCTGCCCCTCAGAGACTAACTGAGTCAGCTGCACAAGCTACCGTGAGCAAGAGCTGGTTTCGTCGGAATCTACGTCATCAGACAGCTTGACTGCAGCTCCGGCCGGCTCGGGTTCTCCTACACGCTCTACAGAGCTGCCTGCTGCCTAGCGATTGGCCCGAGCGCCGCAGGGGCGGGACACCCGGGTCAATCAAAGACTCAACGGTTAGTACTGCGACCCACCGTCACCCTCGTGAGGCGGCCGCGGCCACCCGCGCGCCGCTACCACGTGACGGAGCGGAGATTCCAACGCCGGCCCCCAGGAGGCAGCGGGGCGCCTAGGGAAGAACCGCTTCCGCCTATTGTGATCCCTATTGCCTAGCTACGAGAACCCGGCCGTTGCGGTGCACGCCGGGAAATGTAGTCCGTTCCCGGGTGTGGGTGGACTGTCCTCTGCGGCCCCGTGTGAAGAGGCTCGCGGGGAAGTAGTTCCGGCGCCAAGCGCGGAGCGTTTCCTATTGTTAGTTCAGCGTCTCCCGTTGCCTGGGAGATACAGCAGCGCCGCCTGCGGGGGAGAATCCTCTGACGTCAAGGGACTCTCGGTGCAGCCAGTTTGAGGGACTATTTGTTTTCTCTGGTGGGGGGAAGCCAGGCGCAGGGTTACATCGAGAGCTCCCACTGGAGGGTGGGTGCTGCGACAGGGAGCGGGATGGACCTGATGGAGCGCAAGGGGGCGCTGAGCCTGTGCTCAGGCTGCACGCGGTACAGCAACGCCACCCTCCTGCTGCCCAGGTAAGGGGGCCTGGCACAGATGCCATGTATGGCGCTTTGACACCAGCCAGAAAGCTGGTCTGCCATAAATGTAGCACTGTTTGGGGCTGGTTGGTCCTTTCATTCCGCCAGCCTTAGGTCTTTCTGGTGGGGAGGGGTGCGCCTGGCATATGTGCCATGAACGGTGCATGCCCCCGGCAGCTGGGGGGGCATGGCTGTGCTGGCAGCAGCGATGGGAGCATGGCGGCAGTGAGCAGGAAGCTCCCTCAGACACTGCCAGCTGTGTCGGTGGCAGCCAGCGGGGATTGCTGACCACCCGCAGACGCTGCTGGTGGGGTGGTGAGCAGTGACTGCCTTTTTGCAGGGGGTGCACCGCCATGCTCAGGGGGTGCACATGCACTCACATGCACCCTCTATGCTTCGTCCCTGATACGTGCCATTTATGGCACTTTAGGGACTAGCCACAAAGATGATCCACCATAAATGTGCCTTTTGTGGTTAGTTGGTCGTTTTATCCTGCATGGATGCCTGGGGGCACTGGTGGCTGGCTCCATGAGTGGTACGGTGGTGGTGGCTGTTATTTTTCTACCTCCTGCCAAAGTCAGTGCTGGAGGATTACAGCCCTAGTTAACCTACTCTTCTGGAACAGTCTATGACATATTCCTATGTTTAGAAGCTAGTGGTTTCCCAAGGATGAGCAGTCAGTGAGTATAGGGGTAATTTAAGGGTCTATTTGTGCACCCAGTAAATTATGATAGGGTTGGCTCTGTAGTTGTGGGAGCAGGGGGAGGCAAGGAATATGGTAAGTTGTGTGTACTGTAAGTTCCCTTGCTTGCATAAGATTATTTTCTTTCTCCTTGTTTTCTCACAATAATTACTAGGGTAAGTAATGTACTCATAATGGTAGCGGGAGCATGACAAGAATGGGAGAAATCTATCCCCTGTCTCGGACGGCCAGGGCCGACTCAAGTTACGCTCGTACGTCAGGGCAGGCTGGTGAATGGAGAGGCAGACACAACTTACTGGTTGTAAAAAACTTTACTCATGCCACTTACAATCACGACACAGGTGGTCCGGTCGTCGGAACAACCACACAAGTTGCTCCAGCTGGCGGGGCCCAAGCCAGTTAATCCGTCCGCAATTCCAAGCCGGCGGGGAAAGGGGTACGTCGGGGTTGCGCTCGGTGACGGGAAGAATGATCGATAGGTGATCAGTCTATCGATCGGCAGCCGCAAGTCAGATAACTTCAGAGGCACTCCACAGCGTGCTCAAAGCTCTTCGACTTGGGCGGAAGTCGCGCGGAATTTTAAACGGCCAGCGAGCCAATTACTAGCCGCCATGTGTGAATAATTTAGCACTGGCCAATAGCGGGGCACAAATTTACATCCGAATAGCGGGAACTCTTTGCACCGTGCATTTCTGTGCTGCAAAGAAGAAATGCATCCTGCAAAGGAAACTGTAAATTGGCGGGAACTCTCTCCTGCACGCGGGCTCTCAATTGCTGCAGAACACTCTGCCGTGCAAAGGAGCTCTCATGTGGCCAGGAAATTCCATAGTGCCGAGGCACCAAAATCACTGGGTTGTGACATCCCCAAGCAAAAATGGGGAGCGAAACTTCAAAAGGCATCACCCTACTAATGTGTTGGAAAGTGCTGAGATGATATTTTGAGGATGAATGGTGGTGTAAACACCTATTATGATCTCAACAGAGCCCAAATACTGTATTTTTCTTGCATATCACCCACCTCAAATGTGATATGCATCTTGTTTGGGGAAAGGCAGAATGAAGAAAAACCTATTTTTCCACAGTTACAGCTGCCAGAGCACAGACAGAGCCTAATATTCAGCTCTCCTTACATCCCTTTCTTGCTATGGCAAAAGCTACAGTTTTAACCCTTTCACAGTTGAACTGGCTGCTTTTGCCTGTGCAGGAAAGGGAGGGGTGAGTGAGCTGAAGATTAGACTCTGCTTCAGTTCAGCTGTGAAAAAGTTAAAACTGTGGCTGCTGCTTCTCCCTCTGTGGTTCCTGGGAGGGAGAGAAGGAATAGAAATAGGACCCATTTTACAATGTCTCTGTGTTTCTGTTCTGGAAAGAAAAATCAACTTCCCAGTTTAAGACATGCACTCCAGTTTTGGAAGGCTAATTTTTGGAGGAAGGGCATGTGTGGCATAAAAACAAATATGGCAGATATGGGCCTTTAAAGCAGGGGTTAGCAATCTTGGCTGGCATGTGCCAGACTTTGTGATTTGCCATCTGCTGTCACTCCTGCTGCAGATTATCCTGACCTGTTTGCAGCAAGGGAAGATCAGACATGGCAGAGTAGCAAGCTCCATGGTGGAGGGAATTAGTGTAGAAAGAATGGGTGGTATGGCACAGGTCTGTGCCTCTAATTCCCCTGTGGTGGATCAGACCTTCATGGGCTGGATCAGACCTCTTCATGAGCCTCATTTGGCCCCTGGACCATAGATTGCCAACCTGCTCTTTAAAGTGGTTCGGCAGTTTTAACTCTCCTCAGTGTCTGTCCTCAAGTAGCGATGGGTCTCTTCACTATTTCCTACTGAGGTGTTGCCTACCAGCATTTTGCCAACTTCTACCCTAACAATTAGAGTCTGTCTCATAATTGACACAAGCTATATTGCAGATAGATAAGAATAAGTGTGGGTAAGAAAACTTTCTGCCTCATTCTCTCTCATGATTTGTGTTTTGCATTAGGTTTCTCTTTAGTGATTGCTATATCTTGATTACAGTATGTTCAATTTAATTGCATAGACTTGTGACTGAAACAAGGCTATGCAGTTACCCAAAGTTAATGTAATTAATACTCATTAAGAATAATCCAGCTGAGCTGCTGTCTGTGCTGTAGAATTTGCAGTCCTGATACTGAGTAGCAATTTCATTTTTAAACTTCTGACAGTTTCAGGCTGGTGTTGCCCTGAACATTAAAGGAACTTGCCAGTTTTGGAGCTGCTAGCACCCCTCATTTTTAAGGGTTCTAATAGCAGCTGTTGTATTTACTGCATTTACCATACCCTCTTCAATTTTCCCGCTTATTGCTGCATTCTTATATGACATCTTTAACTCTAGCACTGTGATTCTCAACTAATGTTCCATAAGTGTTTTAAGGGTGATGAGGTGCCATGCAAAAACAGCACAATTAGGTGTGCAAACACCTACACATCGTTCACAAAATAAGCCCATAGATTTCAAGTAGGAATCCACAGTGCCACAAACATCCTGACCTGCTGAGGTCTTGTTGCATTCTTTGCAACAGAAGAATGGCTCTAGTATTTTTTCTGCAGTCAAAATACAAGTGGAAATTAAGAGCTAGCATTTTCTGGGGAGTGCCTTGACTCTAAAAAGGTTGAGACTGCACTGCTTTAGCATCTGAGCTGTTCTTTCACAAAGATAAAAATAAAAGTTATTGTGTGTCTGTTGTTCTCCCTTGCCACTAAAACGCTGGCATAAGGGGGTTAAATGGGGTGGGTGAAGTGTTAATTGCACGAGAGTGAGACTCTTATTGTGGGAGGGCTGCAGTACAGATGGAGGTTTTATTTAGTTCTGATGGGGCAGTTGGTATTTGGCCTTGAATTTTGTAGTGTGGCTCAGTAGCCTTTGAATTTATACCATTTCTTGAGGTCCTAAGTGTCTCCTCTCACATTAAAACATCTTTATCGTAGTGCAGGGATCTCAAGCAGTTCGGCTCCCTGGGCTGAATCTGGACTAGGGGTGTGCAACCTTTTTGAATGTGGGGCCGGATCATGAACTTTTTATCACCCAGTGGGCCGGCAGGAGCGGGCGCTCACGCAGCCTGTCCAGTCTGGCCATGGCGCACAGGGGTCAAAGGGTGCCGCCTGACCCCACCATGTCCTCCCTGCCACCTGGGCGGCCTCGAGGATGCTCCCACACCTGCGTGCCTGGGCTCAGCAGCCAGGAGGACAAGTGGGGACCCTACAGGGGGGTGTGGGACGTGCAGGGACACCCCCCTGCTCCCTCTCCCCTGGGGCAGCCCGAGCCTGAGCAGCAGGGCTCCCTCCCTCCCTGGGGCCTGCGACTCACCACCCTCAGCGCAATGTCCACGGGTGTGGGGGGATGCGGGGAGGTGGGAGCGGTGCCAGCTTCCCACCCTGACAGCCACAGCAGCAGCATCTCCTGCGGGGTCGGCTGCAGCATCCCTCCGAACTGGCATCTGCGCCCACCTGCCCACTGCACCACAACCTGCTCCAGCCTGTGCAGCTGGCAGGGACCGGCTCAGGGCGGGGCCAGCATGCAAATGAGGAAGGGAGGGCGGGGCTAGGGAGCGACACTGTGAAATGAGGGGGGAGGGGAGGAGCCGCACCGCATCAGCAATGTGAAGCTGACGCGGTGCATGTGGGAACTTTGTCCCTTCCCCAGCCATTAGGAAGCTGCTGTGGGACTGGGGGAGGGACAAGTGGTGGGAATGAAAGTAAACAGTGTTTACTTTTGTTTCCCATCGCAGCACCTTGGGCCTCAGAAAACGGCATGGTGGCCTGCGAGCCATAAGTTGGACAAGCCTGATTTGGACCACGGGTCTCTTTGTGGGCCAAATTTGGACTCTGTTAGTGGGCTTAGCAGCAGCAGCGATAACTTGTCAAGCTCAGGGAGCCATAGGAGTTAATGCAATCATTGTTCACTGTGCCATCACTTAAATGAGTTCCCATAGTCCAAAATTTGGTAGTGGGCCCCCACCCATTAATTTCCAGCCCCTGAAGGAGCCCTGTGGGCTGTATGTTTGATATCTTGTGGAACATAACTATTACCAGCTTTTTTGATTGCCTATCTATTGTTGGCTGACTGTCAACTCTTTAGACCTCTGGCTAAATGCCAGCTTATATGGATTCTCCTGCAGTTCTGCCTTTCTAGTCCTTTGATGTTCCTGTTCTATCAGACCTCGCTGTTCCTGAGTACATGGGGGAACAAAAAATTAAAGATTAGAGTCCATGTGGAAGCAACTGAATGTGCAGTATAACAGGATGGGGTTCATGAGATTGTTAAAGAAAGG